TTTTTATATCTTATTGATATACCAATTTGTAAATAAAATGATTTCAAAAAGTAGGATACTTTACTCCGTAACCCGCAATTTGTAATCAAATTGGGGACGGAGGAAGTATGTACTTTGGTAAAACCCTTGCAACTTTCTAGATCTATCTGTATTAATCCTGATGTCGAGTATGTAGTTAGTTTTTCCAATGTCCTTCATATAAAAATTATCACTCAACCACATCTTTGCATGTTAAAGTCGGGATAGCATTTCTTGTTTTCTTATGAGAAGTATGTCATCTACATACAGGGCGAGAAAAACTACAACGCTCTCACTAACCTTCTTATATACATAAGCTTCATCTCCATTTTTGACAAATCTGTAACTAGTCACATTTTCGTCAAATAAAATATTCCAACTCTGAGAAGCTTGCTTTAATCCGTAGATTGATCATCGCCGCAACTTGCACATTTTGATAGATTGTCTAGCTGCGACCTCAAAACCTCAGGTTGTGTCATATACACATCCTCAAATAAGTTTCCATTAAGGAAAGCTATTTTGAGGCCCACCTACCAAATTTAGCAATCATAAAATGCAATAATAAGAAGCAGAATCCGAATGAATTTAAACATTACAACTAAAAAAAAGGTTTTGACGTAATCAATACCGTGAATCTGCATATAAGCTTTGCTACCAATCTCCTTTGAAATTTTTAGAGCAACTCATCAAGTGGATCAGTGTCTTTACACTTCCATGCTCTATGGTGATTAATGAAGGGTCATATGTGTATTTTAAAGGTGGCAAAGGCCTTAGACATGTGGCTCTATCTTTGAAGAGTTATGATATTTGATTAATTCATATGTAGAACTTTACATCAATATATATACAAGTAATACCAATCCTAATTATGGTAGGATAGGAATAATCAAAAACTAATTACACAAGATAGCTGCTATAAATACAATATTAAATATATTAAATATATTTAACATGCTCCCGACTACGTTGGCTAAGGTGGAGGGTGAATTCCAAGATTCGTGCGGAAGTGAGTGAATAGTATAGATGGGAGACCTTTGGTGAAGATGTCTGCATACTGAGAGGAGGATGGTACATGGAAAACTCTGACTTGGGCAAGGTCTACTTTGTCACGAACATAGTGAATATCTACCTCGACATGTTTTGTACGTTGATGCTGGACAGGGTTGGTGGAGAGGTAGACGGCGCTCACGTCGTCACAGAACACGAGGGCGGTGCGTTGCAGGGGTTGTTGTACTTCAAGGAGTAGGTTCCTAATCCAACTAGCTTCAGCAACTGCATTTGCTACAACCCGATATTCGGCCTCAACACTGGAGCGTGATTTTCTTGGCTTGCCGTTTTGACAACTAAGAAACAAGACTATCCCCTAGGAAGACAACAAATATGTATAAAATCGAAGAGAGGATTATGCATGCTGAATTTATCAAAACTCTAATCTCATTCCTTATTCTTGCATTGCTAGAGTCGATACTACCTCCGATCAAAGATTCACCACATATTAATACCCCATCTCGTCTAAAAAGAATCTCTTTTTTACCTATTCACGTGATCAAACAAACTTTGACTATTTTCTGTCTATTTTATTACTTGCTTGATAAAATTATACTCAATCCGTCCCACAAAATATTTCTTATTTTAAATTTTAAGGAGTTTAAGAGGAGTGTATTTTGGTATTGACTATCGAAAAATACCCTGGATGTGGTAAGTAAAAATAAATGTGGTGAGTATATTAGTAGTGAAAAAGTGTGATGTGATAGGTAAGTTAAGAATTAATGAGGGCAAAAGTAATTTTTTAATAGAAATGGGAAAATTTGGGACGGATGAAAAAAGAAAGGAGAAAAGTTTTGTAGGACCGAGTGAGTACAATCTTGTCACTTTAAATTTGATAATTTTTTCAAACTTACAATGGAACTACCATTTACGGAGTAAATAGTACATAATATGATATTCATTTCATAGAGTAATTTAGTATTTTCACATTCTGTTTTGTCACATTATTAAAATCTTCATTTATTTGAAAATCAAAATTTGTCTTTTTTTAACCTTATGTTAGCCAATTTGATTGAATATATGCAACGGATATTCTTGGATGGGTCTCTATAAGAAATGTGGATCGATTTTGCCGGAACCAATTGAAAATTGTAAATAATTGTAAATAAAAAATTGGGTCTGAATTGGTAAGGCCCAAATGTATGACCTCTAGCCATTACCTTCAACTTTCGAGCGATAATTTTAATTTAAATTTAAAAATATGGAGATAGAAAATGAATGGAAATCCAAAGCCGCATTTCTAGGGTTCTTATGAATCAACAGTCTGAGTAAGGGAGAAGAAATCCCAGTTCTTCATGAAGCTGGGCCATTGCAGAAGCCAGATGCCCAAATCTGCTCAAGTGTTCTGAGAAACAGATGGAATTCCGAGGTACACGATGAAATGGAACCTCAATCATCCGCGATCTCAAACTCGTTTTTCATTTCTTCAATTTACGCTGCTAGTTTGAGCTTTTTCCCTTCAATTTCCCCAGAAATTGTCTTGGAAGCAATCGAATGACCCAAGAAACATTCCCCTTACTATTTTGTACTTTAGAAAGGTCACCGTTGATTGGTTACTGATACTGGGCATTCAATGATAATTCCTAGAATCGGCAAAAGATTGTGTTGGAAAATGATTTCCCATCTTAATGAGGTATTGATTCCGTCTTCGATTTCTATTTCTGAGAGAGGATCTTATTGTTCTTCTTCTTCTTCATCGTCTGTTTCACCTAGTCTAAAAGCATTAAGGCTGAAGGGAATTCGGTGTTTTCGAAGTTGTGAACATACTCATTCTAGCAAAGTACCCATGGCAGAATCGACCAGCCAGAGACCTAACTCTGTTAGAGGTATGAAAATATCACGAGCAGTGAGAAGTGATGCGCAAGCTGCACTCTTTGATTACCTGCACTACACTAGGGGATTCAATTTCCCCGATGCAGAGCATATTAGCAAGAACTCTCCTTTCTTCCTTGAGAAATTGATATCCAAGGTTGAGAATGAGGAGGATGTGTCAAGGGCACTGTCAAGGCTGTTTAGGTATCAACCCATTAATGAGTTTGAGCCCTTTTTCGAGAGCTTGGGCTTGAGTCCAGATGAGATAACATTGCTACTTCCACGCAACTTGATGTTCTTGAGTGACAACCATGTCTTGCTTGACAACCACCGCGTTCTTTGTAGGTATGGGATTCCTCGCACTAATATTGGGAAGATTTATAAGGAAGCAACTGAGATTTTTGAGTATGATGAGGGGGTATTGGATAGGAAATTGACAGCTTTTGAAAAAATGGGTTTAAGTCGATCCATGACAATACAGCTGGTGATCTGCTTCCCCACTCTGTTGGTTGGTGATGTAAACAATGAACTTCTTCAGGTGATTAAGAAAGTGAAAGAAATTGGGATTCTGAATGAGTGGGTGGGAAGGTATCTGTCTAACGGGCATTCATACGATTGGAGTAGAATACTTAGGACGACACACTTTATCACTGAAATCGGTTATAATGAGACACAGATGGGTGATTTGCTCAAGGCAAATCCTGCATTTCTGTTCGAAGGCTCTGGGAGGTGCACGTACGTGTTGGTTGTTCAATTCGTGAAATTGGGTCTTGAGATGGACGAAATCCGATCTGTGCTTTTGAAATACCCCAAGATCCTATCTTTGAAGTATGCTAAGAGGCTTTGGAAGGCAATGTCTTTTCTGTTTCAGATTGGAATGGAGACCGATGCCATTGCAAGAATCATATCCGACCATATAGAGTTATTGGGCTCAAATTTTATCAAATCGCCAGAGACTGTCTTGAAGCATTTCAAAGGCGACAAGCGCTGTTTGTGTCAGACAATTCTGGATGACCCTCTGAACTTGTTCAGATTAGCTTCAAAGTCACAAGTCAAGATCATCGAGCAAACAGGTCGCCGGGTCCCTTCTGACAAAACACCATTCTTACTGATGTTAGGGTATGCAGAAAACTCAGAAGAGATGACGAAAGCCATGAAAATGTTCCGTGGAAGAGGTGACGAGTTACAGGAGAGGTTCGATTGCCTTGTAAATGCTGGGTTGGACTGCAATGCCGTGGTGGGCATGGTTAAGAAGGTCCCTTCGTTGCTGAACCAGAGAAAAGATGTCATTGAGAGGAAACTGGAGAGCTTGAAGAACAATTTGGGTTATCCGGTGGAATCGGTGGTGTCATTTCCCTCCTTTCTCTGCTATGATATGAACAGAATAAGTCTTAGGTTTTCGATGTTTGGATGGTTGAGGGAGAAGGGCATGGCAAAGCCCAAGGTTTCGCCAACCACTCTCCTTGTGTGTTCCGAAGCGCGCTTTGTAAAATACTATGTTGATGTACATCCAGAAGGCCCTGCAATGTGGGAATCTTTGAAAAAATCACATTATGCAACAAGCTGAGATCAATTTTGATTCACACTTTTTTTTGGGGTGCATTGTTCTATTGCCTGATTCTGTTTTACACATAGCTGTGAATAAATTAATGAAGAGAGCTAACTTGTACTTGATCTTTTTATTGAAAAATTAAACTTTGTTTGGGTGGGTTTATCAACTAATTTTTTCATCAAATGCCAAGTTATTTGCAGTAGGCCAATGATTGAATTGGGTGATAATAAAAAGGGAGTGTGTGAGTTAACTTTCTTTCTTTAATTCCTGAAGTGGTTTAAATTGATAATTATACTGTGTTTAAGAATATTTTCTTTAATTTAAATGGTTGAAACCCTTTGTAGTGTTTCTCCTGTGTTATTTAAAGTTCATTTACTCTCTCTTTCTTCTTTTAAGTCCCCTCATAACAATTTAGTCAATTGGTTGAACCAAACTCTGCTAATCAAAGTCAAGTTCTGGACTTTTTGGTACCAAATCTGACAATTTGTCTTAAGCACCACTTGATTTATGGCCACCATTCTAAAACATAAAAAAAGAAATAAAACAATAAAAAGTAGTGCAAGTAATGTTTAAAAAAAGCCCAAGTATGCCAAGAAACTCCAATCATCATACTCCTGAATTTTAACAAGAAAAGCTTTGAGTAAAACATGTATATTCTCTAATGGATATCTATCTATACCTCACAGTTTCCTAACTTTATGAATATGGGTATCCTTACAAGAAGAACAAGATGATGGAGATGATCTCGAACTGCGATTTTTAGCATTGTCCTTGTTAAATGCCCTTTCCACATCATCTTTGAGCTCCTTAAATCTCTTTTGCTTAACGTTTTGCTCCTCGGAAGTGCCCTTCTCTAGATATAATAGGTCGGGCAAATCATCTTCCGCGAACTTATCCACAACTTGTGAGCAGTTGGGGAAATAACGTCGACCCAGCTCCACTACAACCTCGTCAAGAAAGAGATTCGACGACTTAAGTACAAAAATTCTAGAATAACACCAAGTTTGACACCATGGATGACAATCATCTGTAGATTTATACACCCTCGAGACGTGTGTACAAATTTACAGACGGTCATCCGTGATGTCAAACTTGGTGTTATTCTGGCATGACTCATTTAATGTGATGTTGGAAAATCTAAAACTATCTATTATTATAAGTGTAGGAGGAGGAGAAGAAGATGCCTGTTTTTGACAGCTCTTCCAGCCTAGATAAAAGCCTTTTCTTCTGCATTGTCGGCGTCTCATTGAAACCAACCTCCTTCGGATTCCCATTTGAAGCTTTATATGCCAAGATACCTACGGACTCGGATTTCGTCTTAGCAGTTGCGATTTCCATGGCCAGTTTTGCCTCAAGGGGGAAAAGAAGTCGGGCAAATGCCACTGCGATGGAAGAGAAATTTAGCTTCATTGCAAAGCAATATAACATTTTTACCTTTATTTTGTCTAGACCTTAGGCTTCCAATGCCAATGGAGCTAAAGTAGTCACTACTAACTAAATCAAAATGACACATGAACTCTTTGCTTCTTACTTTCTATGAAGTTTTGGAGAATAAATGCTAGAATGCATCAAGAGTATAACTGAAAAAGTCTTTTCCAAATCTCAATGGAGTTGGGATAATATTAAGTTTTGTTTTTGATTAGTTTCTGTTTTTGGTTGTCTTAAAAAGAATTTGTCATTCCATTTAAGAAAAAAAATTGATGGTTCAAAATATTTCACTCCTTTGCTTAAATTTTGTATCATACAATTTACTTTTTCTTAAACTTCGTGAATGTCAACACCCTGTAGTCTATTTTAGGGACGGAGAGAGTATAGAGTACCTCTGTTTTCTAGGTCAAGGAGTTTCATGCGAAGATCATCCGCGGGTATGATTGGGGAAGAGGAAACAACATCTCCCACCATTGGAAACCTAAGCATCTCTCTCTCCAAGACATCAATGCATATCCTATCTTTATGTGCTTCATGCCCTTGCTCGGTTTTCGCATGATAATCCTTTGGCCGCGTTAACCTCCTACATATGCTCACCGCGCTTTGTCCATCCAATGCCGGCTCCCAAACGCAAGCCCCATTGGTGAGAAGGGACACTATGACCGATGGCTCTTTGCGCATTGCCGCAACATGAAGCACGGTGTGTCCCCTCGCATTGCGAAGGTTCACGTTGGCTAAACCTAGACCTAAAATCTCGTGAAAAACGTTGGGGTCACAATATGAAGCAGCATAGTGAAGCGCACGTGCTCCGTCTAGCGTCACGTCGGATGACTCAGCAAGGAGAAGATTGACCAGCTCAACATCGTCCGAGTCCAATGCCTTGTGTATTCTCCTTATCCTTTTCTCGTGGAGTGGGTCCCGGACCACGGTTTTACCCCTCTCGACCTCCATGCCCCCCCGCTGCAACTTTATGCGCTCTGCAACCTCACGAGGAACCCCTCTCTCGATGGAGAAGGTTTCAAGATCCGATTGCGCCACCCTGTCGATGCATTCGTCAAGAAGGTGATTCAGCTGGCAATGGGAGGAAACACTGAGAATGGGGATCAAATCATCAGCCACGGCTCTTCCTACGAAATTCAGAAGCCGCCTCTGCAATTCAGCAACAATAAAATCCAAATTCAAAATCACTCACACATTCATTCTCCTCCTCTAATAGCTAGCCATGATGCTACAAACAAACCCACCAAGGTCGACACCATTCGTGTGTAACAAAACAATCACTCCCCGTGCGAAAAAAGAGCCTATGGTGTGTGTCAAACTTGGTGGGGTTTTCTCCTCTAATTCGCTGCCAAGAACGACAAAAGAGCTTGATGTACTACTATACCTGGAAAAGCAAAACAAGCTCGGGCACCTGAAATGCAGAAGACACAAACATCATCTCCACAGCGAAATTAATCGCGGGTCTGCAAGAATCGTGTGGGCACAGAGAGTTGACACAAGTAGACACCTCAGGTGGCGAAGGCTTCAGCTTCCCGGTGTACAAATAGGTCAAGAAACTAGCAAATGCCTCGCGACCCACCTTACCTGCGCCGGGAATCAATTCCTCCAAACAATACCTTGGTCTAACACTGCTCTCCTTCCCAAGATTACTAAAAAGCCCATGGAAAACCCTACTCCTAGCAGCCAATATACAGCGGTGGACCCCCACCGTCCTCCCCTCCACAACAATGTCAGCATCACTAAAATCTGAACCAGTATCACACAAGAGGTGCTCCAAGCCATTGCTGAGCTTGCTCAAACTGATCATCTCAAGAAAATTGGAATCCGGGTCGGATCCGTTTGGTGTTTCTTGCCTTGTTGGGGAAGATGATGTAAAGCTTATGGATGATGATGATGATGATGATGATGGGTCCAAAGAACTGGTCATATCTCAAATCCTCAACAATAAACTCCCAATTCAAGTTTCAGAACTCCCCAAATTGATCACAAGAATGGTTGAAAATACTCCAGAAAGAAGAATCCACCCTTCATCGAAGTCAACCAACATGAAAATCTTTGAAGATTCAAGCATGCACAAAGAACAAGATTCTCAAACACTGAGAAAGAAGATTGATCCAGAGATTCTGAGCAATACCCTCACCATAGTTTTTGCAAAATCAAAAAGAAACCCATCAAAGACACGGCTTTGGAAGACTTTAAAACCAACAAAGGGAGAGTAAAAAAATAATGCTCCCCGCCGCTTCCATGACAGGGAAAGAGTGGCCCCCACGGCGCGAAGTTGCGTAAAAAGTGCATTGTGAGGGGGCAATTTTATCGTTCTCGCCTCTTGGTGGAATTGGGTATGGCCAATGGTACGGAGTAGTATTTTGATCTAAGGATAATGCTAGAAACCCACTACAGACCCCCACAGAAGATGATCCAAAATTGGGTCAATCACGTTTATTAGAAGTGGACAATAGAGTGGTTGTACCTTCTGTGTAGGCATAAATCATCTGTATTGTCATACGTGAAGGCATGAGTAGTAGGTTTGTAGCATAGTCCTTTGATTTAAAGCATTACACAAATATATAGAGATAGTAAAAATTTGTAAGTGTACAAGTCTTTACTCTTTATTGTCTCTCCAATACTTTTAAGTCAAAATGGTGTCACCAATTTTGGTATCTCAATTTTTTAAGAATTTTTTTCTTTACATAAATCGACCCAATATAAGCAAATATTATGGTGGACCATAGATGCACCTAGCATCTATGGATGAGGGTAGTAAGCATTTTCTTACTTTCCTGATTAACATTTTTATTTTTTATTTACAACAAAAAATAAAAGTAAAAAAGTTAATGTAAGAAGGTACATGTTAGTTTTGGGAACAATATTTGGTGAAATAAAGTTATATACTTCTGAACAGAATTATAAGAGAAGAAAAGACAATATTTATAAGAACCTGCAAGTTGAGAACTCTGACCCTACTTGGAAAACAAACTTTACAAGGAAACAAAATATTCTATCATAATTATATCATTTCGTTATTATCATTCCATACTCCCCCCTCAAGCTAAGTTGGAACATGCAACAACGAAATGTTCAACTTTAGAACATTAAATAAGTCTTGCTTAATGCCTTTGTGTGTATATCTAGCAAATGAGATGTAGCTGAGGCGTGTTCAGTGCTGGTGACCCCTCCCCCCAAGTTCATTACGAACAAAATGATATGGCTCCCTTGACACTCTGTCGCGAGCCTTGTTTTAAAGGCATCTTAATGAAACAAATCTGCTTTGATTTGAGCAAAAACCTCCAACTTTGCTTTGGTAATAATATCAAAATATAATGTCCCCTTTGATTTCAATTGTCAATAGCAAGATAGAGTAACCGATGTAAAACATGGGGTTTTTGTTCAAGTCTCACGGGTGGCGCCAAAGTGATGGTGTAAATTATCTCGACCGAAATATCGTTCTTAGCCAGACATGAACGATAGACTGGTCTAACAAAATACACCTAAATACAAATACAAGGATTTTGACCTGGAAACCTCATTGTGAGAAAATCACGAGCCTTTTTTTTGACAATTTCTTGTGAACGGGGGATTTTTGTTAATAACGGGGTTATATACGGTACATTATTTAGGCTTAAGGGCCATTAATGGAACAATTTTCTTAAATTCTACTACCTCCGTCCCATTTTATAGCGCCTGTTTCGGTTTACGATGTTTGACTGAAATTATTTTCAAACCATTTTATATGACAAATGGCATAGAATTAAAAAATAAAAATTACATATTAAAAAACTACATCAAAAGATCTACAAAATTAGTAGTGACAATAATATTTTATTTTATCAAATTGCTAACGAAAATAGAGAAAGAAAGTGAATGAAGTTTGACCCTGTGAATAGTAAACAGACATTATAATTTGAGACGGAGGGAGTATGAAACAACATTGTGAGTTTTTGATTTGGATCATTTGACTTCNTATACGGTACATTATTTAGGCTTAAGGGCCATTAATGGAACAATTTTCTTAAATTCTACTACCTCCGTCCCATTTTATAGCGCCTGTTTCGGTTTACGATGTTTGACTGAAATTATTTTCAAACCATTTTATATGACAAATGGCATAGAATTAAAAAATAAAAATTACATATTAAAAAACTACATCAAAAGATCTACAAAATTAGTAGTGACAATAATATTTTATTTTATCAAATTGCTAACGAAAATAGAGAAAGAAAGTGAATGAAGTTTGACCCTGTGAATAGTAAACAGACATTATAATTTGAGACGGAGGGAGTATGAAACAACATTGTGAGTTTTTGATTTGGATCATTTGACTTCATTGAGCCTAATATGGAAGTGTTGAAAGCTAAAAGGTAAAAAACTTGCCACGTCATAAAACAAAAATCACGTGGCAGGTGAGGTGGTGGTAGTAATATCATAGAAATATGTGAAATGTTGGAGCGATGATGCCATTTAGTATTAAATTTAGAAGTACTGACGTAAAATAGAGATTTTGTTAGAATGACGTAAACTCTTCTTTGTGACAAAACATACCAAATACATTATTATAAAATTAAAATAAATAAATCTATAATTTAAAATTAAAATATATTCAAAAAAAATTTAAAAAATTAAAAGTTAAAATATAATTAAAATATATTTTTATAAAAATATAAAAAATAATTATATAAAATATATTAAAAATATATAAAAATTTTAGACTATATGTGAATATTGAACCTATGTTGTGAAGCATATACTCGTATATAATTAAAATTAGTGTCACATAAAAATAATAAAAAAATTACAGTCATCTTCTTTATGATTAAAGAAATGTGGAATCAACTATGCTAAACATAAAAATAGATGCGAGTTCGATTCGTGACAATTGGACTGGGAAGCAATTATGCTAAGCATATAACCTCTGTAAGTATCCAGTGGCTCCACTCTCTACCACCAATCTGTAACTAAAATCTAACTAACTTCTTTTCAGTGACCGTCTAGCGAGATCTGAGGAAACCCTCTGAGATGAGGCTCATCCTAAGAAATGTACGTGGATTATTCTTAGTCACAAAATACGTTAGTGGGTTTGAGGTTTGGAGATGTCACGTCCGTTCATATTCTACAGTTTCACGCTCAAAGCTCATCAAGAGATGAGGAAAAAGTGGTGAGCCTCCAATTCCACAATTCCCATGCACGTACAAATAATCTTTCACATTCTATCATAAGAAAAGAGACTAACAAGTTAAATTAAAGAATATAATAAGTAAAAGAATCACTATCTGATAAGAAATGGCAACAAGTGGTATAATGAGGAGATGCATGGTGCCTTTGTGCACAATCTATCTATCCCTGGCCTCACTTGCCCTCCTCGCAGACGCCGGCAACGACTACTGCGCCGTTGCCCTGAACAAGAAGCTCTGCGAGGAGACTGTGAAGGGGGCCGGGGATTGGAACCAGGCTATTACCAAGGCAATAACAAATGCCATTAGCCAGATTGAAAAGGTGAACCATGGCCAAGTTAAGTCTACCATTCAAAAGACCAAGCCCGCCTCCACGGCAAACAGCGTTGATCGAACGTGCACCGAGGCCTACGCCAGCGCCAAGGACAGGTATTCACTTGAATTTTTTTTAAATAAGTAGTACTCCGTACTAAATTTGCTCTATTTATTAGTCACATTTAATTTGGACTTCGAGATGGCCTAGCAATGATTTTTATATTTTAACAATGAATATTATTATACATCATGTCTAGATTTCTTAAACTTTTGATATATAATAATACGGATTAGTAAAAGCAATAATGGTTAGTTAATTGTAAGGTAAAGAAGTAATTGTTACTCCATTTGTCCGAAAATATTAAACTCATTTAATTTCAATTCAATTTATTTGATTATAGATGTAAAATTTAAAAATAAAATTTTTACAATCCCCTTGTCACTGAAACCTTTCTCCTTTCTTTTGTCATCCGTCTCAAAAAAAATTTCTCATTTTTATTAAAAAGTCACTTTTACCCATACTAATTCTTAACGTAGCTATCACATCTATTCACTATTAATCTATCCATCGAATCCAATGATATTTTTGAAAACTCAACACCAAAATACACTCCCCTTAAATCCCTCCAAAATTAAAATCTTCCACATTTTCAAATCGGAGTACTAAAACATACCGAGTTTTCCAATTTAGTACTATCTAAGTCCTCCAAACATTATTTAGGTAAATGTCTACTGCCATTAGACATTATTCAAAAAAACATCCACCGTCACTAGATATTGTACTCAGTATTATTTCGGGAATAAAGAATTTTAGGTATTACATTGGAAAAAGATATACTCAGTATATTTTAGTATTCTTTAATCCAAACTTCACATGGTTTTACATATATGAAGGTTGGAGGAGGGCATGGAACTGGTGAAAAAAGGTGACAAAACGGGAAGTTTGAACTTCAAGCTGTCGGCGGCGTTGACCAGCCTCGAAGATTGCACCAACGCATTCCAAGACTTCAACCTCGAAATCTCCAACATCAAGGCGCTGAACAACAACGTCGAAAACGCCATTAGGGTTTGTTTGGCTGTTGAAAGATCAAACTCCGGCCATCATTGAAAAACCAACACACAAAAACTATATATTCAATGTTGATTAAAGATTATTGATTCATAATTGACAGTTCATCATAGACTAAGTCCTTATTGGTTATTTTCATTATTCCTATTCTTTTGGTATTACTGTTAGTGGAATAAGTCATGGTTAGTGGAGAGGATTTTTAGGATATCTAATTTGTTGAAGTTTATCTCCGTTTGTTTTTATGTTTAAGAGCTCTATAAATAGCTCTACAGATCAGTGAATAAAAATTAGTTCTTCTTCTCAGTTCTATATCTACTTTGAAGTCTTTGTTTTTTTTGTTCTCTGCATTCCAGTTCCAACATTAGTGGTATCAAAGCCTAGTTGGTTCCTTTCCGATGGCCAGCAACGGGAGTTCGATGGGTGCTTCACAGCCTCTCATACCAATCTTTAAGGGAGAAGGCTACGAATACTGGAGTATTCGGATGAAGACTCTACTAAAGTCTCAGGATCTGTGGGACTTTGTAGAACTGGGATACGCAGATCCCGATGAGGCGAACAAATTGCGGGAGAACAAGAAGAAAGATTCGAAGGCGTTGGCGATCATCCAGCAAGCAGTCCACGACAACGTCTTCTCCCGAATTGCAACG